TGTTGAATTCACTCTCACTCTGTAATATCTTTTCAAACAATGATGTCATCTGCAAATAATCAGTTGTTTGTAAGGCAAAAAAAATTCCACTGTGCAATAGTCACTTCAGCTGTACCCTCACACATCCACAGACATGATGCATTTATTATTCTTTAAGTTTTTCTTTACAGGCTTGGCTTGTAAAGTACTTCAAATGTATAGAAAATTATCGAACACTAAGATACCTATCATGCAGATCGAACAGATACTACTTGCCATGTTACTGTCAGATCATTCCTCCTTAAACAAAAAGGCCTGATGTAATACTGCAGACGCATCTACGGTGTCTCCATCCCATCTTCCTTCTCCTCCTCCCCAGAGTAAGTCCCGCACTGAGGTTGGAGTCTGACATCCTGCACTCACTAATGCACGTGGATGTACGTGGTTGTGGTGTTTTAAAAATGTGTGCATGTTGTCTGCAGTTGTAACATGCTGTCCTGATTGAAAAGTAATAAATATCTGCCCATTATGAAAAATTCCAACCTTTAGAGAAATCAATGGGACAGAAAGTTAAAAGTGATCCATAAGAATCTTTTTAAGAAAGCCACTATTCACAATAAGGTATATGATGTTTTAACCCACACCATGAGGTTGCAGAGAGTAGGACCAAATGCTATCTGAAGTGCCTAACAAAAGAATGCCTTCCTGAGGGAAGAATAATTGAGGTATGTGTTTACCACCATATCCTGTTCTCTACAGAGAGTTCTCGAGCTCAGTTAAAAAAAAAGAAAGACAAGAATCTCAGCAGAGGTTACTAGGACTTTAGGTAGGTTTCAACAGCATTGCTGTTTACGCCACAGAACAACAGGCCTCTATAGATTTGATTGCTGCACCTGACAGGGCCCGCGGCCTGCACAAAGCAGACGGCCTTGACGCACAGCTGCCAAACTTGGAGCACATATAAGACAATCAGAGGAAGTCTACGTATAAACTTCTCCATGCAAGGAAAGGTGGTTTTTCCATTTGCCTTTTTCTGAGCAATTTAACTTCCTAATTACATGGTCCAAATTGTTTCAGACACTATGTAAACCATATGTGTGTTAAATGCTAGAGACAAACACGGGGAAACCTGATTAACATCAACTTCCCTCAGGAAAGGGGTTTCTTTCCCAAGTCCGGCTAAGGCTGCGTTATCCTTATGGGACATGGCTGAGTAAGCAGAGGAGAGGGCTAGTTTGTAAGTAGCTGCATCTGGCTGTGGATTCTCCCCTCTTCCTTCTGCTGAGGCACATATTTTAACCCAGAGTTATCCTTTGGTATTAACATGAGCAAGTAGGCGCTGCCTGACATCAGCAGAATGTATTTCATCTCGTATTTAGCAGATTCGGAGAGGAGAAAATAGGATTATTTTGAACCTTTATGAGGGTGAGTGTGTGAGTGTGTGTGTGTGGGAGAGGACGGACATGCTAGCAAAGAGGTAGTTGCTTTTTCATTTTTGTCCCGTTGGGTTTGAACAGTAGAGGGTGAGGATAAATAATCAATTTATTTCACTACCGTTAAATGAAATTAAGGGTTTTTTTAAAATATAAGTTTATTTAAAGAGAAGTGAAGAAGTTGTAAACATTATTTATTGTGTGATGGGCAAGTTTGCAGGTCTAGATGAAATAATGGTATTGGATGATTGTTATTGAATCAGTTAAACAAACAAACAAACAAACAACAACAACAAAGACATGTTTCCTGTGTCCTGTTTTGGATGCAGAAGTCCAAACAGTGGGACAAGTTCCCTGTTTGGGCATAGTCAATGACACAGATGTGCAGATCCATAAAAGCGGATACCTTGAGGTGAACTCACAGAGCTATAAATAAAGTGGCCACAGTTCGTCTTCCCCACTGGACATTTGAGAGGACAACAGGCAGAAATGGGGTCACACAGTCACCCCAGCTCTTAATGGTGTTGTGGTTGTCATTGCCTAAGAGAACAATGAAAAAAAAAAACCACTCTTAATTTTTCTACTTTTTCTGGCCTTAATTGCCCCCAGGAGACAAAGATTCAGAGCATTAATGAAACACACTGGCAGATATTGTTTGTTTTTATACAAACACTGAGGAAAAGAGGAACTCAGAAAATCAAGAGGAAAAGAAAGACTGAAAGACTTTATTCATGCTAGTTTACATAGCCTTCCTATGGCCTCTTGGTCTTGGATTCTAGTGGGAACTACCAAATAGGTAGAACCATGTTATGCTGGAACTTGAGTCATCTTGAATGATGGCTTCATGGCATAAAGATTCCTTTGCCTTTTATTTCTTTGGAACTATGAAGAATACCTGTGCAATGTCATTGGTTGGGGCACTATCTAAATACCCATGTACACAACGTTAGGATGCTTGGATTTCTCTGTTTGAGCAAACAGAATTATTTTTAACTGGAAATGGGTGTCTTTGACTAACAGGTCATCTTGTTTAACTTGTGAGTTGGACCAAAAGATTCAGAGGAACAGAAAGAGCATGGTAACAAAGAAGCCCTCATTCATCTTGTTTTTTCTCTTGTTTTTGATGTTGTCGAGGTTTTGCTTTAGGTTTTTTGCTTTTTGTGTTTTGTTGTTTGGTGTTTATCCGAGTCCTGAGCTGTTAAATCGATGTTTAAGATATCTAGACAACATTATAAACTTTTCCTGCTCTGCCAAAAATTGACTGCTTTGTTTCTGGTAAACCTGGCCTTTAAAAAATAGAACCTGGAGAGCCTGGGTGGCTCAGCCGAGATTAAGCGGCCAACTCCTGATTTCAGCTCAGGTCATGATCTCGGGGTCGTGGGATTAAGTCCATGTCGGACTCTGTGCTCAGCGGAGAGTCTGCCTGAGATTTTCCCTCTGCCCCTCACCTCGTGCTTTCTCTCTCATCCTCATATAAATTAAATAATATATATAACCTTATTTGTTTGTAAAGTGTATTATCCTTGTATTATCCTGCTTTGTCTTTTTATAAAAGTTGTGTGAACTTTGATAAACCTTATTTTGATGTGAGAAATATTTTATATATTTATACATCCTGACTATGGCTGTCTTGGTCTGTAGGCAGTTTCAGGAGAGCTTTGGAAATGATCTTGCCGTGTGAACTTTCAGTTAATACAGATTATCGCCTTAGCAACAAGTTAGACCTGATCAGAAGGGAAGTATTTTGCTTTTATAGATAATTGTATTTGCTGTTTTCTGAGGGGGGGGTATCTATCAAACGAAATTTTGGAAAAGATTTTATAAAGTTGTCTAAGGAGAGTTACAAGGAAGTGGTTGATAGGTAGATGTCCACCCCTGAATGAAAGAAATTCTAAGAAATCTTAAGCAAAATGGCCTATCCTGAAATTCCTAGTGTAGTTGACTGGGCACAAGGAGTTTCCTTTTCTCTTCGTTTCTCTGAGTTCATCATACGTTTGCATTTATTTTTAAATTAGGTAAATAGTCCATTTTGTTCCTAGAGTATATTGCATAATCATCCATTTATTCAGTAGTTCTTTCTTGAGCTCTTCCATGTTCAGCTGTGAGGGTTATAGATGCAGGCGGAGTAGAGGGAGAGCCGGATCTAACCAGGGTTGGGATTTGCCAAGGAGATGAGCATTGTATGCACGGAGTGATTGAAACTACATACCAAGAAACCCAAGCTGGGTAATTTAATAAGCATGAATGAGAGGACATGAAGGGTTTAAGGACAGGGGAAAGGTGGTCGAGTCAGTGGGCTAAAGAATCATTGGGGTTGAGGATTCGAAGAAGAAGGGAGTTGGAGAGATAGGTGGTCGGAGAGGGTGATTGACCCTGGGATTACAGAGAGGTTACGGTTGATGGCAATGACAAGGTCTAGGTTATGACGATGGTTGGGGTAGCTGAAGGAGAGAAAATAAGATGTTTGGGGACGAGGAAGTCAAGGAACTGAGAAGCCAGGGTCGTGGAAGACTCCCCTCCGTGGAAATTCAGGAAGGTCGTGTTGGGTAGAGACCGTGAGCCAGCAACTAAACTCGTAAGGGCAGATGACTCCTAACTCGTCCAGGAGTCTGTCCCTGACTTTGATTATGAGATAGAGCTGGACAGCATGAGCTTCAAAGCTAAAGACTTTTTGGGAGGAGGAAGTGATCATTTTCTAGCAGCAGCAACGAGAGGCAAGCTGGCAGAGAGGCAAGCTCCCCCTTCAGGGGAGGCCACATTTTCTAGGGAGAGCCAAATTTCTGTTAAGGCAAGAAGGTAAAGGGAGGGTTCAAGGGCAAGGCTGAGGATTTATAAGATCTTGCTGGATTCCCTACATGAGCCCTATTTCCGGGGGACCCAGTAGAAGGGGTTCAGAGACCAGCTGAGGAGCTCAGAGGGTAGAACCAGATTAGGCGTGTTCACAGTGCCACGGGGATGAGAGTCGGGGGAATGAGGAATACTGGGGCTCTTGGGCAGAGGCGGGGATAGAGAAATCAGTGCTGGCGGTTTCTGAAGCAGGTGGCGAGGCTACGTATGTTGGGAGAGAAGGACGGCTCAGGCAGGCCTCTGAGGCTCTTCTTCCGTCCTGTGCCTCGTGGATCGGAGGCTGGGAGTGAGCCCTTGTCACCCAGAGCCAGGGTCGGTTTGGGACTCCCCCTTTATTCCGTGGACGGAGGGAAGACTGGGGAAGCGTACCCATCCGAGCATTACCACTGTGTTTGTGTGTCTCACTTGTGATAACAGTTCCCGGACAACGTAAGGTGAAAGCTAGAGCGTTTACAATTATGTTTAATACTGCTTTTAAACCTGAGATACAATTTAGCATATTACAGAGAAATAGTAATTGACGGGTCTAATTTGGGAAGTGTATATTGATTCAGAATCAGTATATATATATATATATATATATATATAATTCAGATTCCAGCTCATGTTTTAAAATAAATCACCCTCTCCCTTTCCTTCCTTCCTCCCCATCACCTTCTCCCCAAAGGCGACGTGAAAACTGACAGTGTCACAGTCCTGTCCACTGAATTGCTGGCATGTTCTTTTCCCTTTTCCTTTTAGTGAAGAAAGTTACAATGTCAATGATTATTCCTTAAGAGATCAGCTATTGGTGGAATCTTGTGACAACGAAGAGCTTAATTCTTCTCCAGGGAAGAACAGTGCCACAATGCTTTATTCAAGACAGAGCTCTGCCAGCCACCTCTTCACTCTGACAGTCCTCAGTAACCACGCGAGTGAGAAAGTGGAGATGCTGCTCGGGGCTGAGACGCAGTAAGTGTGTGCGGGGACAGGGTTTCAGAACGTCTGCTCCCAGTCTTCCGTACGTCATTGCCCTGGTCTAAGACTCCCTAAAAACAGGGAACAGTAGAACACAGAATAAACACTGTGTTTTTTGCTGACGACCTCCTATGCACCAAGCACTTGGGTCTAGGTGCTTTGCGCAAGCTCATCTTTTCACTCATTCGATCCCCTCAACGTCTCAAGAGATGCACGTTATTATTTTCATTTTCATGACTCCTAATGGTTGCATTGTGCTTTAGGTGGTGTGCTTTTATATTTAGAGAGTGGTTTCAAAATCTCTTTATTTTAATCATGGATAAAGATATGACCCGTGAGCCCGGGGTAGGTGACACCTGGTAGTTTGAGTCTAGGCCATAATTTTTCCTAGATGAGGGACGTGAGGCCATTTTGCAATCACCTACCATCAACGAGACAGCAAAAAGCCTAAGGATTTCTATCCAAAGAGATACTCAGCCTGGGGAAACGTTCACGAATCCACTTTCCCGTCAGAGTTGATGCAGAGGCTGAATTAAATAAACAGCCCTGCTGTTTGTGGCTGCTGGAGCCCCGGTGGCTGGGGGGCCGGCCAGCCTCACAGTGGATGAAGGCAAGGGGGTTTCACCTCCGAGGCTACCCCCCATGATTTGGTCCATTTAGAGGTTGTTGACCTATTTATTTGTTCAGAAACTGGAAATGTCCTCTTGAAACAATCATCACAGGCAGGTGTTCTGTTGGGCGGAGCAGGAGAGGAAGAGAGGAAGCCCCTCAGCCTTTGTCCTCAGGGATCCTCCACATCCCTCCCACTGCAGTCTGCCAGGGGTCCCACGTGGTGCGATTAAAATGGACCGGCCGCTGGTGAATAACAGCCCTAAGACTGTTATTCGCTAAGCAAAAGCTTAGCGAAGGTAAACCCAGGAAGGTATCTCTCCTTCTTAAGAGTATTTTAACAGTGCTTCCTGGGTCATTAAAGAGAGACATCAGAAAAAGATTAAAATTATCAAGCATCCACATAAAACATTTTAAATGATCATTTCCTATCTTTTGGCATAAGAAGTAACTTCTCAAAGGCTCTTAAAGAAGACCAAGAGGGACAGGTTGATGTAAAATCTATTTGAGATTTGAAACTAGCCAAAGTGGAGTATTCCAAATGAACTTGAGAGTTAGCAGAGAGAATAAGAAAAGGAGCTTCATCGTATGTGTTTGTTTATAAAACAAAGAAATGCCTTTTTCTAAGGTCCCAGAGCTCTTCCATGAAATTGCTAAAGAGCCCAGCCACGTTCCAGGCATGCTCCTCTGTGTTTGCACCTCTGGGTGGGTGTGGTACTAGCTGGTCTATGCAGGTGACCAGCAGGAGACATATCCAAGACCCCAACTCAGGAAGGCATTTCTTCAACTCTGAAAGGGATTAAACCCCTCGGCCAGTGAAGGCAGATCTAGCCTTCCTCTGTTTGGGGAAGCTTCTCTTAAAAAGAGAATTTCATATGTCTGAGCTTTGGATCTTATATGACTTTTTTTTTTTTTTTTAAGTAGGCTGCATGCCCCGCATGGAGTCCAGTGTAGGGCTTGAACTCAGAACCCTGAGATCAAAACCTGAGCGGAGATCAAGAGTTGGACGCTGAACTGACTGAGCCACCCAGGCGCCCCCTTATATGACTTTAAGGATGAAAGAGTCTTAAAGGCTTTGGGGATGAGTGCTTGTCCAGACATTCTAGAGAAATCTCCGAAACAGATTTTCACTCATCAGTTTTTGTTCGTCATGGTGAAAGTGTTACTGGTTTTGCTTTGTGTTTTCCTTTTCTCTCTGTTTATAAGGATTGTTTGTTCTTTATTCAGGTCCTGCCAACATCTCAGCAGAGCTTTTCCTGTCTCTTTTGTACTTTATGTAACCTCCACCACTTGTTCCTGAGATTGTTCCCGGAGAATAGGAAGTAAACGGACATGTCCAGTTCTTTGTATACCAAGGCTAGATCCTTTCCTGGGACGTTCTGTAGCATTTGTTCACCGCCTTTCCTTTTGATCTTGCCATGGGCTGAATGGATATTCATTTCCTCAATCAGAAATGTTCTCAGAATATTGAGTTGGGTCACCCATAAATGGTATGAGCCATGGGTCTGACTCAGATTTGTAGTTCTTTAATGAATGGCAAAAGAACATTCCGTAAGGGGCAGAGGTCTTGCGTACAGGACTCACTCCCCCACTGCCCTCCCGTCCAACACCAGCTCCGTTACAGTTGAAAAGTAAATAAACGGACCCTTTTAAGCACTCAAGGCATAAAATAGCACTGGTGCTGAAAGAAAATCTATTATAGCCAAGATGTGCTTTCCTTAGAAAAAAACAACTGACTGTTTAAAAGTCTAGCAAATTGTTATATGCCATGTTTGGGTAAGTGCAGGTCACCCTGGGCTTACCTGATTTCGGGCGGGCAATCAGAGTTTTGGTCTATGTAGACTGTTCTCTTTGCTTCTAAGATTTGCAAAATGTATAGGTGAATGTGTGTGTTTTAAGTTTCCTCTCTTTTATGTTGTATGTGGTTAAGAGGGTCTCTTGGCAAACTGGTTGGGCAAACAAGGTTTTCACCCCATTCTGGCCTTTGAATCGTGGCAGAGCTTTAGTCACATGGGTCTTTTGGCTACGTATTCTTTGGTTCAAAAAAGGAGGAGGTTCATACCTAAATCTTTACCTTCTTGGAAAAACTGTTGTCAGTAGGAGGGCTATCGCTGTTTGACACGAGGACAGTTCAGTCATTATAAGGTGGTGAAATGGTAGAACAGAGCAGTAGCTTTGATTATGTAAAGAATTCAGAAAAGCTCACCAAAAAAGGAAATGGGGTGAGCACTTAAGGAGCACCTGGGATGCGCCAGATGGAGTCAGCCATAGAACATGAGGAAGGTGAACACCCATAGATGTTTCTAGAGAAGGATACACTTGTGAGCCGAAGTAAGGTGACATCGGGGTTTCCTGTCTTGGTTTCCCCAGGATCGGCATTACATCTTTTGTTCTGGCAGAGTTAAGAATAGCACCCTCTTTGACTCTCAAAAGTGTCTTGTTCAGGCAGTAAAATCGGTGATGACCCTAATTATTGGTCTGTGCTCTACTTCCCTCATTTTTTCTCCCAGATGTAAAATGAGACAAAGGTGACGTGATTTGCTTAAAGTCACACAGGAAGTGAGTTATTGCCAAAGCCGGGACCAGACGCTGACCCTCCTGAATCTAGTGTCCTTCCTGGTAACAAGTTTTAATCATCTTACTAAGCCGCCATTCAGTAGAGTGCTCCCCCCTCCCTTGCCATTTGGCCCTGTTGTACATCTATCTGGAAGGAAAACTCCAGGAAGCCAGTTGCTATGAAATATGAAATGTGAAAAACTACTAAAACGTGAATTGTTTTCCTCAGTACATAGACTCTAAAAACGGAAAAAAAATAATCTGTGGAAACCGAGCTGGTTAATTTAGGGCATCCCATTGCTTGAAATATTTTGTAATAAAATCCTGAATAGATGGTGCAGGAAGACTCCCCTGAGGTGACATTTGGACCGAACCCTGAGCGACAAGGAGTCAACCCATGGGAAAACACAGGGCCAGAATGTTCCAGGCGAAGGCAACAGCAGGTGCAGAACTTCTAGGCAAACAAGTCTGATGTTGTCAAACTTGGCTTGAACATGATGAAGATGGCTAGATCAGAATGCAGCAGAGAGAGAGTGGGCGGTCAAGAGGCCAGGGGAGGCTGGAGCATTTCAGAGCAGAGCAGTTCCAGTGTGGTGTGTGGGCCGTCAGTCCTCACACCATCTCCGCCTGGGCCCGAGGGAAGCAGTTGAGCACTTACAGCATTTTGACATGTCTGCAGCATCAAAGCATGTGATTAACAGTAACTCACTTTTGTTGTATTTCTAAGAACACTTGGTCCACAATGGATGGGGTCGGGGGTTGGGGGTTGAGGACTGGTTCTTCACCACACATATTTTGAGAAGCCACCATCTAGAGCTTCGTAAACTGTAGCAGGGAGTTCCCGGGAAGACTGGAATGAAGGCAGAAGTTTCAGCAGGGAGAGCAAACTGGGTCCTGTTGCAGTAGTCACGCGGAGCCCTGAGTGCGGCCTGGGCCATGGTCTGAGAGAGGAGATAGAAACGTGCTCTTTTGGAGGCAGAGACGATGCGATGGACTTACGGGTTGGATGAGTTGGCGTGGCCGTGCGTGAAAGACAGGAATGGATGGTGCTTTGGATTTTAGGCTTGAGCAGCTAACACCGTATGTTAAGTTGCTCCTCCTCGGTCTTCACTGTGGCTTCTTCCTCTGCTGCCCCGACGAGGTTGCTCCGTCGAAAGATGCGCAGCGGCTTCCTGGTTACCCCATCCGGCAGTCGGCCTTTCCTTACCTTTCATCTCATTTCGTTTTGTTGTCCATTCAGCTCTCTCACCCTGACCCCCTTTTTGACATTTTCTTAACCTGTTTTCTGTGTTCTCTTAGCTTTCCTTCCATCTCTCTTTTTTTTTAAACGTTTTATTTATTTATTTGAGAGAGAGAGCATGCACAAGTGGGGGGAGCTTTCCTTCTATTTCTAACCATTTTTCTTCGCTTTCCTGAACCAGTCAGCTACCCAGTGCTTTCCCTAAATGCACATTTCTGTAACTGGTACCGTTGGCACCATTTCACGTTTATGCAGTCTGGAGACTTGGTGTCGTTTGTGATGCTCCAGGTCGGAACAAATCCATCATCTGCCAGTTCTTTTTGTACAAAAAGTCCATTGCCTCTCTCCTCGTTTCCATGCCACCGCCTCCTTCCGAGGACAACCCATGTATCACTTATCTTTTTTTTTTAAAGATTAATTTATTTATATGAGGGAGAGAGAGAGAGCACGAGTGAGTAGGCGAGCAGGGGGAGGGGTGGAAGGAGAGGGAGAGAGAATCTCCAGCAGACTCCCTGATGAGCGTGGAGCCCGACACGAGGCTCGATCCCACCACCCTGAGATCATGACCTGAGCCGAGACCAAGAGTCAG